CCCCGCCCGCCATTCCCCCCCCCCCGCCCGCCCTGCTCGCCGCCAGCCCCGGGGCTGCTGGAGGCCACGGCCCGGCCCCGGAGAGGGACCACAGCCCCACCCGGCCCGGAGGGAGCAGCCCCGGCCCTTTTCCTCCTCTCGCCGCCTGCGGCCCCACGTTCGGACCCATTTCCCAGCTCCAAAGCAGCAGGAACCGCGGCCCCAGAGGTGAGACGAGACACCGGGGCGGCCGGACCTCGGGGAACGGCCGGGTGCCTGGGGAAGGCAGCCCGCATCCCTGCCGCCCGCTCCCGCTCTGGCAGCAGCTCTGCTGCAGGGGCCTGATCCCCTGAATGTCAAACGAGGCGTTTTCTTCCCCAAGCCAGGCCCCGTGCACCGGATTGCAGCCTTCCCTCCTCTTCCCCCGCACCAGGGAGGAGCAAATCTCAAAAGAAAGCACAAAAGCCTCTCCTCCGTCCGCAGTGTAACTCCCCGCAGGTACAGAGCGAGGCAGACGCTGCCCGCCCCGGGGAGCCGCAGCCCAGTGGCTGGGTAAGGCTTACCGATCTCTTATTTTTTTGATTTAAAAACCGGGAGAATTCAGATCAAAATGCTTCAGCTTATTTTATTGATCAGCTCAGCCTCCCCTCCAGTCTCTCCCGCCAAGCGCTCCACCCCAGTACGAGCAGTCCCTGGCAGGCAGAGACAACCGCAGCTCCTGTCGGCTTCCAGCCCGGCTTGGGGGTGCCCACGCACTGCGCCGTTCCCAGCCGCCGAGGAAAGTCAGGAGCGTCTTTGGTCCTTTGTGTTCACGCAGACAACGCCAACAAACACAGGTCGGGGCTACAGGCAGGTCTGACCCCGTGGGGCAGGAGCCTGCCCTCACCCTGCCCTCGCTGCCCAGGACAGACCCTGGCAGGCAGCGAAGGGCAGGAAGGGGCAGATCCAGCCCCTGCTCCAGCTCCCTCGCGCTTTAGAAAGGCCGGTCGGTGCCGCAGGGGACAAAGCCTGGGCCTGTCTGCCCGCTGCAGGACTCGGAGACGCGCTCCAGAGCCCGCAGCCGTCCCTGCCCCAACAGATACATGGAGAGGACGGCTGCGGAGCGGCTCCAGGACTCCCGGCCACGTTGCTTGTGCTTTAAGACAGCGTAATGGAGAAGCTCACTCGTACGATGGGGGAGTCCTGAGGGTTAAGGCCATGACAGTCACAGAGAAGTAGCGCGGGTGGTCCTCCTGCAGAAGTACGCCCAAGTTCGTGGCTGTTGCCCCTGTGGCTCCATGTCATTTTAATGAGAAATTAAGACGACATCCTTCGAGCAACAGGCACACGTCCCGGGCAGGCGGCAGCAGAGTTCCCGAGTGACCAGAACCGAGGTGGCAGTCCCGCGTGTCCGATAACGACCCATCCCTGGCTCTGCGAGGTCCCATCGGACACGAACCCGACGAGGCTCGTTTACCAAAGACACTTTGAGATACGGATATAAAAACCACCACAGTGATGAGGTCTGTAGACTCCAGGCTGGGAAATTTCAGCCATTCTAGTGAGAGCTTTGGGATTTGATTTCTTACATTCGCAAGTCAGGATGTAAAAACAAAACAAAACAAAAAAAAACAAAACCAAAGGGATGAATCACTGTCTGGGAGCCTGAAATGAACCAGGGCTCTCACAGCAGCTCTTCCCTTCCTCGCTCATAAAAATACATTTCCAGGGGCAGAGCACTGACATCTATGGATGTAAAAGACGGTGCGGAGGGGGGCTGGGAAGCGCACACAAAACAAACACGCTCCACCGCGTTACAGAGAGAAGAGGTAGGTATGCTCGAGCCAAGCCCCCGAGTCCGCCCTTTTAAGCCACGTCTTTTGTTCCCAAATTAGTCACCTCTTGCAGAAAAATCAAGCTGGTTGGGGTGGGGGGCAGCTCGCAGCCCCCGGGTTGAACTTCATAATGCACTTTGGACAGGAGAAGTCAAGCTTGAAAGCAGAGATGAGAGCTGAGCATCCGGGGAGGGCGGCGAGAGCAAAGCTCCGTGTTATTGCTAGTGTGTGGCCAACCAATTAAATCCCTGGGAGTAGAGGCAGCACAACAGCAGCAGTTGTGCCCGTTTAAGGCAGCATTTCTACTAAACTAGGTTCCTAAACCACAACTATCTCCTAAACATGCAAGACTAACAGCTCCCATTTCAAGAGAAACACCAAAGCAATTGGCTAAGCTGGTCCTCAACTCATCGCTTGATGCTTCTCCAGAATAAAGCCTTTCCCGAGATGCGCGATCCCCGGTTCCCCTCCTCCCGCAGCCCCAGACCTCTGCCCCGAAGCCCCGCGCAGCCTGGGCAAAGGGACCCAAGGCAGGCACCAGAGAAGCCTTTCCAAGCAGGCAGGGGAACCTCGCGGACAACCACCTTGGTTCTGAAAGGGGAGTCGAGAGCCGGATGGAGAAGGCAATTCGATATGAACGAGATGTTGAAAAAGGTCCTTGAAAGCTGGCCTGGCAGGGAACCAAGGCAGACGGCAACCTCTGAAAGCCAGAGGACAGCAGGAGCTTTTCTTTCACGGTTGCCATCTCCTCAGCCACCTGCAAGCACACGCAGGGAGGTGCTACCGTCGCAGAGACTCAAGAAGCCCACAGCTCCCTGGACGGTGCTCACAGGTCCAAGGAGATCCCGTGGGTCCAAGCACTGCGTCCAGCAAAGTGCTGCCGGCTTAGACCAACCACTGCCTGAGCAACAGCAGCCAAAAAACCAGCTGGTTAACTTGAACCTTCCCTACGGAGCTCCTCAGCCTCGTGCCTGTGGCCAACACCCGCAGCCACCCACCGAGCGCGACCACCCCGCTCACACGCTCCCGTCCCCCTGCGTCATCTGCTTGATCTGCCGGCTGTGGACCACCTGCTGAGCCCCCTCCGCAACTTGGTTTAGTCGTGTCTCTAGAGCACTCCGGAGGTCGTTTACTTTCACATCTGGAAGGGGGTTCAGGCCAATGAAGACCCCCACTCCCTGTGCAGCCTCCTCCTCCTCCTCCTCAGGAGGCAGCAGGTCCCGCCTCCTCCGGCGGAGGTCCAGGTCCGCCTGCAGTTTCAGGTCCCGGTTCGGTTTGACATCGTGGTCCAGCTTCTGGTCCCCCTGGGCAGCCGCTCCTCTCTCGGGCTTTTGGGCGGGAGCGTTCTCAGGGCCTTGTTTCTTCTCAGCATCGTTTGAGAGACCCCCATCCCCATGCCTCTGCTTGCTCCGGAGACCTCCCTGCGGGTCCTGGGCCACATCCACCACGTTCTCCTGAGGAGCTTCTTCCTTCACCTCCCCTTTGCCAGCTGGGTCCCTCTGCAAGGCCTGCTGCCGTCTGCCAGCACCCTCGCCTCCCTCGCTGTCTGCACCTCTCTGACGCTCCCGTAGGTGCTGCTCGCTCTCTGCCACGTTCCTTTTACTGGAGGAGTCCAGCGCAACTGCCAGGTCTTTGGGCTCCACCTGACTCAGTGCTTTGGCTTTAAGGTCTGTTCCTGAGTCTCTTTCCAGGCTCTTTCCTGCTGCTCCCTGAGCTTTGGCAGCCCCCAGCTGTTCTCTTTGGATGGGAGCTGTAGCTACTTCCACAGCTTTCGGGGAATTCTTCTTCTCATGGACGTCTCTTCCAGCTTTGGCTTCATGATCTCCTCCTAAATCCTCCGCCAAGGGCTTCTTTTCTAGGTGGTTTCTGGCTGCTGGAATGTGTTGGGCATCCCCGGGAAGGGGATCCCAGTTCTCCACGGGATTTTTAACAGCTCTGTCATTCTCCTGTGGCGGCACCTTCCGCTCCTTGGGAGGAACCCCAGGAATCTCACGTCTGTGCCCAGCCTCTTCCAGCTTTCCTGCAGTCCCCCTGCGCTGCTCCGCGGAGTCAGCAGGCTGCCTGCCCGGGCCCTGCGCGGGCTGCTCCAACAGCTCTTTGCTAAGCAGCTTTGCAGCAGCTTCTTGCTTAGCTCCAGGGCCCTCGTCCTCCTTGCTCTTGGAGAGAGGCACGACGGGCTCCTGCTGCGTTTCCACTGCAGAACAAAAACCAACATGTGAAAGCTTTTTCTTACAAGTGAGAGATTCCCTTCTCCTGCCACACCGTTCTGCACAACAGGGGACAGGAGAAGAGATCACACCATCAACAGCCACACAGGAAAACAAGGAAAGCCGTGGGGGAGAGCGTTATCCCTGCGATCAGGGGCCGGGCATCCCCACCTCGGAAGTCAGACACAGGAATGGCTTTTGCAGAGTGGACTCTGCCACGTGCCAAAGGGACTCAGATCTCTTCCAGCCTGATTTTAAAGCTGCTTTGAGCAGCGATCAGCCCGTGGAGGGGTCACGCTCTTTGGCGATGTCCTTACCTTGCTTTGGCTTCTCCTCTCCTCCCTCCTCCTGCCTTTGCTGGTGGATCTCCTTGTGCTGCTCTTCAATTACAGCCAGCAGTTTTGCCTGCTGGTCAAGTAGCTGCTTCTGCTGTACCTGCTGTTCTTTGATCACCTGCAGCAGCACAGCATGATCAAGCAGTTTCGCCTGCCCCGCTTCTAGAAAAGGGAAAAAAAAGAAAAAAATAATCCATGA